GGCGCCGCGGGGCCCCCGCCGCCGCGCCGCGAGCCGACACGTCAAATCGTGCAAAAACGGCCCTGTTTTTGCTCGCTCCAGCCGTCACCAGCTTTCTCCTCCCAGATCCTCGCTACCACCGCCCCTGGCGGGCTCCGCGGCCTCAATGCATTCGTGCTCAGCTCCTATATTTGTTGAGGCTTTATAATGCACGTGACGGCGCCTCTTTCTCGCGGCCATTCAGAGCAGATGATTTACATCGGCGCATTGTCGCCGCCAAAGAAGGCCCGATCGTCGGCCCTAATTCTTATTTATTGCAATATCTCTTCTTTACGTCACAGCAGGCATTGTGTGAAAATGGCGGCGGTTCAACTACCTGCGCGGCGGCGCCGCACGGGTGCCAGGTGCACAGGCGTCGCGAGGCGCCACCAGCCGGGGGAGGGGGCAGCAGCGTGGACGGCGGTCAGCGTCTGCCAGTGTTCGCTGCGGGGCAGCTGACGACAGTGGGCTTCCAACGGTGCACGGTCTGCACGGAGAGTTCGGGTCGAATGCTCGTGAAGATTTACCACGGCAAGTGTGGCGACACGGTCGGGTGGCGCACGGGAGGCGACGTGTGTTAAATGGATTGCACACTCGCGTGCATGGCCGGCTGGAGCGCAACATGGCTGCAGCCCGCAATCGAGTGTGGCGGTAGGCGCCCGCTCCCCCCCCCCCCCCCTTTCTCCCGCGGCCGGCCGGCCGGCCGGACAGCCGACGCGTCCGGACCGGCCGGCCGGGCGAAGCGGCCTCAGGTGCGGCCGCACCACCATTGTCGTGGCCAGCTCTAATGAGGCGTGCCGGCGCCCGCTGGAATGCTCGCTCCCCCCGCCGCCGGCTCGCACCGGGCCCCATTGTCACGCAAATCTGCCCGCCGGCCCGCTCCCGATAAACACTGATAAAAACCGGAGGTGTTCCGGGCGGGCCGCGCGGCGCGCCAGCGGCAACGGGCGACGGAAGGCTCGGTCGCAGCCGCCAGGAGAGGGCGGGGGGGGGGGGGGGGGGCTGAACCGGTGGCCGCCGCCGTGCGTCGAACGTCTTCGATCCGCGCGCTCGGCCGCCTTGTGTGTATCACTTAAGAAAATTGTTTCCAACTCAATTTCGGCCGACAAAAGTTATGACTCGGAGCCGGCGTTTCATAAATATGGTGGTCGGGATTCGTGCGGCGGTCGGGCGCGGCCGCCGAGGGGGCAGAGCGGCGGCTGGCCCTCCTGGGAGCGCTGCCGACCCGCGCGCCGCGCCCCCTCTCATTATTTGCGGCGAAAATATGACACAATTTCGGCGGGTAATTTCGAAATAGATGACCGCCGTCCGGCGCCCGGTGAGATATTACAAGCGCTTTTACAATGTTTTAGGAGACGGCGTCGGTTTATTGTGGAAGTTATCGAGTTCGGCGCCGCTTTTTACGGGCGCGGGAAGCCGCTGGTCGCCAGATGAAAGGGTGCTTTCAATAATTCAGCCCGGTGTTCTGACGGTTCGGACATGTCCCGGCCAGCATACGTAACAGAGCGGGCCTCTTGGGGCGACGGCCAAAGAGAGGGGAGAGCTGGACGTAAATATCACTTGGGGCTAGTTTTGTACGTTAACCAATGGACGACGTGTCGAGAGTTGAGGATGGCAAAACGCTTCAAATGGATTGTGCGGGTGCTGGTGCGCGCCATGGGCGCTGTGCAACAAAACCACTGTACTAAGGGGCATAGTGATTTGAGTTGCCCCATTCTTTTCATTATGCTGAGAGTATTGCTTGTATATTCAGATGCCAATATGCCCATGCTTGTCCTCGTCAAATACGTGTATTTCCTGTGTTTGTTTTAATTATGCTGAAAATATTACTTGTATGTTCAGATGGTAATGTGTCCATGTTTTCCTCGTCAAATAAGTATATTTTCTTTAGCTTTGAACGCCGGGACCAGCGTATGGGGACGATATTTAAATTGTGCACACCTATCAGCTACCCACTTTGCCTGACAATGTTTTCATCATATCAGTGAAGTGGCCATTGCAAGGAAATCACCACCAAATGAATTGTCTGATGACATAATTCCACAAGACACCGCAGTACAAAAAGATCAAGGTTTGAGCCGCGCTCGCAGCGCCATAGAACGTGGCAAGATCCCTGCCACATTTCCAATGTTCATTTTGAGCACCATTTTATATGCGCCACCGATTCGTTGCTCGCGTCAAAAATGACACAGCACCGCTGGTGAAATTCGTGATTAGTGAATGACCTTGCGACTTTATTTGTAGGTACAGCATCGGCGGGTGAACCGAGCACAACTGAAAGCACTCGTGGTGCATCTGTATGTAGACTGTCAAAGAGGAAGAGATTGCCGTAGTTCGACGACATTTGTCGGACCTGCGACCGCAACCTGCAACCATGATTTGAACCGCCGATTGCAGGTTACTGCGCTTTCATCGCAGCAACTCGCTTCGAGCAAGCTGGGTGTGTTTCATCACACAACTAGAAAATAGCTGGCCAGGTGGCCGACAAAGGTACCCAGCATTCCACCTCAAAATGAGCCGCAGCTGGCGGTCTGTCACGCAGCATCGGCTTGCACGGAGCTGAGTGACCGCCGAATGAGTCATGTCTCCATGGGGGTCAGCGGCCACCGCTTCACCGTCAGTCGGGCTACGGCCGATGACGGCCGGCTGGCGGGGCGGCCGGGGTCAGTCGGAGGTCGGCCGGGGTCAGTCGGAGGCCGGCCGGCTGGCGGGGCGACCGGGGTCAGTCGGAGGCCGGCCGGCTGGCGGGGCGGCCGAGGTCAGTCGGAGGTCGGCGGGGGTCAGTCGGCGGCCGGCCGGGGTCGGAGGCCGGCGGTGGGGGCGGCCGGGGGGTCAGTCGGAGGCGGCGGGGGTCAGTCGCGGCCGGCCGGGGTCAGTCGGCGGCCGGCCGGGGTCAGTCGGCGGCCGGCCGGGGTCAGTCGGCGGCCGGCCGGGGTCAGTCGGCGGCCGGCCGGGGTCAGTCGGAGGCCGGCCGGGGTCAGTCGGCGGCCGGCCGGGGTCAGTCGGCGGCCGACCGCGCTCCGCAGCGCCGCCCGGTCTCGGCCGCCGCCGCGCCGCCGCCAGTTTTCGGCACAATTACCGGCCAGCAATGAATCTGAACCATCGCAACGACGTCACATCAATTAGTGGGGATCGGCGGCCGTGTTGGCTTTGGCGCCGGGCCGGGATAGGAATAAATGCTCAAATCCCACCCCGCGCTGATCCGTGCACGTACGAGTGCTGGTGAGCATGACACCTATCGAACGCCTGTCACCGTCACTGGTGCAGAGCCGCTAGGTCGGCATCCCACGTCACACTCGCTCATTAGATAAAGCGCTCATAAAAATAGAGCGTCCCACTTCTGTTTTTTTGACTGAGGCTCTCGTTAATTGTTTGTTTGCTAGTATATATTAGCGTCCTCCAATCCCCTATATTTTCCTTGCATATATTTCTCCCTCCCTCTCTCTCTCTCTCTCTCTCTCTCTCTCTCTCTCTCTCTCTCTCTCTCTCTCTCTCTCTCTTCTCTCTCTCTCTATCGATCTCCTCTCTCATCCTCTCGTCTCATCTCTCAACTCCCTCTCTCGTCTCTCTCGCCTCCTATCATCTCTCCTCGCTCACTCATCCTCTTCCATCTATCTCCTCTCCCTCCTCGTCTCTCTCTCTCCTCTCTCTCTCTCTCTCTCTTCTCTCCCTCCATTTTTCAGAGATAATTGGGTGGGTAGGATCACCTCCCTTCATTGTCTTCGATGTAGCTCTCCATGACAGGGTCCATCTGCCGCTCCCCATGCGCCGGTTCTGATGACAACATTCCCAGTCCGCCGGGCCGCTTTGTCCAGAATAAATAATTCAGCCGGCGCCAGCTCGGTGGAGCCCAGCTAATCGAGGGATACGTCATAGGTGAGCCACTCGACGCTAATCTCGGGCATAGTCAATCCCCTGCTCCCGAGGTACACACACACAGACGGGCGCGCGCGCGCATCAGCACACGCGCACAGGCACACACGCACACACGCACATTCACAGACACAAACGCATAGCACACACACGCACATGCGCCGCACACGCACAGACTCAAACACATAACACACACGCACACACGCCGCACACGCACGGACACAAACGCATAACACACGCACACGCACACACACACGCACACACGTTGGCACGGGGGCAGACCGCAGCCGGTACATCCTCGTTCCTTTCCACACCGCACAACCCCGCTGCTCGCACGCCGCAAACGCCTGCGGGATCCGCCGTCGTCGCCGAGCATCCGCGGGATCCGCCGCCGTCGCCGAGCGTCCGCGGGATCCGCCGCCGTCGCCGAGCGTCCGCGGGATCCGCCGCCGTCGCCGAGCGTCCGCGGGATCCGCCGCCGTCACCGAGCGTCCGCGGGATCCGCCGTCGTCGCCGAGCGTCCGCGGGGTCGCCGCCGCCGTCGCCGAGCGTCCGCGGGATCCGCCGCCGTCGCCGAGCGTCCGCGGGATCCGCCGCCGTCGCCGAGCGTCCGCGGGGTCGCCGCCGCCGTCGGCGCCATTGTGCCGCCCGCCGGGACGCTGGTCATTATCCGCGTGTCGCCGCCAGGCGTCAGCCGACCGCCGGCCGGTGACGGCGCGTCGGTGACGCGCGCACCGGCCGCGCCACGATGGCCGCGGCCGCTGCAGACCAGTGCAGCGGCGCGTTGATGTGCGCTCTGGCACGACGCGAGCCGCCGCGCTCGCCGGTGCTTGGCAACGATTTGTGCGACGAAAAGGCTATTTGTAGGCTCAAGGTTGTCTGTTCTGTTCTGTCTGCTTCACGCGGATGATGATAAGTCGGTAAAGTGGGTACGCTTCTGGGTCGGGTTTGCGAACAGGGCGTGGGAAGGGGAAAAAGACGCGTGTGCCCTGACCCCTGGGACTTGAAATCGGCGTGTAACACAAGGGACGAGACACGAGGGACGTTCTCGGTAATTCGAGGAACGCTCTCGCTCTCGACAAATCGATGCAATTGGTCGGAACACTTACGTGGCTGAGTTGTGCTCGGATGCCTTCGGCGTTGACACGCAGTCTGGAGTCCAGTCATCCTGGTCCTCTTGACCCGAGGTCACAGTGCATGATGCAGCCGCTGGCAGTGCCAGCTGCACAGACACTGTACGGGACTGTAGATCAGCGAGGGTGGCATCCATGTCCTCGGCCGTCACTGTATGACGGTCCGGAAGCTGGACGGGACTTGGATCCATTCTGATCACCTCGGACTTCCCTGAAAAACAGTGTTTCAAGTATTAGCTAACTCAGTCCACGATGCGCCGACGAGCGACAAGTAAATGATCATGTGGACGCGGGTTGAGAAACTGAAACGCTCTCAGGGGTTTCATCATTTTTGTCCCAATCTTTTGTGTTTACTCCCAAATCAATACATACCGGGATCCGTCCCAATAGTGGTAACCACGCCTATGTTAAGAAAACCAAAGCTTGGGCCGTTGCAATGCAATGCAATGCACTAATCTTTGCACACTGCATGCATCATGAAGACGACAATGTTCGAAGCTATCAGCATTCCTGTTGTAATTCATGTAATTAAATTCCGTTTGCTAATTCTCACACCACAGAGCTTGGGCTCCGTCATGCTATCACTTTGTCTCGGACTCTGTTCCTGAACTCTGGATAGTTCAATGACGCTGCAATGGGACTAATGCTTCTCTTTGTACTCTCCACTAACATCTCTTCATACATTACACCACGCAAGCCCCTGCATGCCCTACTTACAAGCAGGTTAGGCCATACAATATGTCATAAAGCTGAATATAAGGCATCCATTCAGTGGCAAAGTCATGTCGATTTGTTTCAAGGTTTGTGAATTACATCAGAAACGAATTTGTAAACGCCACTTCTGAAGAAGTTGTCTGATGGAAGGCTTTCCACAACCTGCTTAAGCTAATTTAACGCATCAGCGAAACCTTCATTCAACGATACATAAGTGACACACCACAGAGCAGCCACGCTCCAGCTGTTGGGCGCCTGCAGAGCAGCTTGATGGATCGCGATGGAAAGGAGACCCGCATGGCGTCAAGAGGATCGCTCCGAAACGTCCCGTCGACGCCGATGTCCGAGGCGATGGCTCACGCGCTCCCGGACACATTTTGCCCGCCGAAAATACATGTCGGCGTTGCCGTCCGGGCAGCATCACAGAGGGCACGCCTGGAAGTGGCCGCTGCTGCGGATGCTGCGCGCCCGGCAGAGCATCGCTGCCGGCCGGCCTGCCGCGGCGGCCATCAGCCTGGGCGCGCCGCCGCGCCGCCGCGCCGCCGAGGCCGTCGGCTGCCGTTGCCCGGCCGTGCGCCGCACGTGAAGGGCGCCCCGCTGGCTGAGGTGAAGACACTCACGGTGAGCCAGGGAACAGGCGGCGGGCGGATTCGCCAGGCCGATCGAGGGGTGCTGGTGCACGCTCTGGAGTTGGAGAGGCTGTGCCTGACAGCTGCCGCAAGACGGGGATGCCACATATTTGGTTCATGCTACGACCTGTAGCGTGTAAGCATTTTTGCTAAGTCCGCGCTGAAACGTGCATGTGGAAGCTGCGCCTGCGTGCCCGTTCCAACTAATGCTCCTAAAACCAGGAGCCGCCAAAGACCATTTATGCTGGCGACTGACGAAGCTTTACTTATTCGAGATTTTTGAAAGTATGGTTCGTGATCGCATTCGGGAGAAGCGTTCTGGCACCACCACATGTATTCACAAGTTTCTCTTCTATCCTGTCCCGTAATGTGCACAGCTCTGCGCACATTACCAGCCCAGGCTGATGATCAAACACAGTCCAGGTGGCTTCTCCTATCTCAGAGTCGCTCGACTCGCCGGTGGTTGCCACGGCAACTTCAGATGCCACCGCACTATCCCGGTTCGCCCACACTGCACGGGAGAAGAAAACGAGCCCGCGAGCCGGCGCGCAAGGTTTTGCAAATCAACCGGCGATGCATGGGAGCTTCGTTTCCGGCTGCGGTTTTGAGGCAGGCGGTGGGTGGGACCGTGCGCGCTACACTAGCTCAGACCCGACTTCCGCCACCCAGGCCGCCGCAGTAACGGAGCGAACCGCACACGGCGAGGGGCGAGCCTGGCGCAGCTGCGGCACTTCCGACTCGGTGGCGCACCGCTCCGCCCTGCTCTATTTACCGTCGCGTCTCGGCCCCTGCAATAATGGCGCGAGCCAGGCGATCCAAATCTGGCGGGTCGCCGGGTCTCACTCAGTGCCCGGCCGGCCGGTGAAAAACGGCGCGTCGCCGATAAAACGGCGCCAACATTGTGAGCGCGCCATCTGATAGCGCGCGGCCGCCGGCTCCGGACGGCCGGCCATTGTGCCGACGCGCTAGCGAGCGGCGGCAGTGACCGATTGTCGGAGAGGACGGCCGCCGGCTGGCGCACCGAGCTCTCACAATAGCCGCCGTGTCCACCGCGCCCTGGTGTTTGCGTTGTGCGTAAAAGGCGACGTGTGTTCCAAAGGGGCGTGTATTGGGACATGAATGCAGCCCTAGACGTCAGTTGATCGCAGTAGGGCTGTATGTTTAGTGTGTTCTAACTCCCCGCATGTTTTATTAGGGCAGTTTAACTATCTCGCTACTATGCATAAATGACAAGCCATTAACTCCTATTTCATGCGTGGGGTCTACGATGCTACCTTTCAAAATGCATTTTGTGAAATTCTAACACGAAAGTGTCGATTGTATTCATATGTGAAAAGGTTATGCTGTACTGTTCAAACACAGTGTCAGTTTTATAATACTTACTCCAGGCAATGTTTCACGGAATTTTTGTACACAGCTTAAGTGGTTTTCAACCCCTCTGACTTCGTAAGACTTCAACCTTGTAAAACCTGATTCGCTCCCAATGCGCGTATTCGGCGTCTTTCGATGAAGTCAAATGTGATAAATAAACAAATCCGCAGACCATGATTTATCCAATCCAAGAAGGGTTCTATTACCCGTGGTATCTACCGTTTCCGCCGTACCAGAATGTTAACTTCATTCGCTATGCCTAACAAGGATGCAATGCGGTCCCAGCGTGTACAGTGTCCGCTTCTTACCGTGTGCGCATAGTCCACCGAGCACAAAGCAATGAATCTCATGTGACGTCATCTGATGTCATCTGTGACGTTAGTGTGCCCGCTGTTTCCAATGTCTACCATGTCCACAATGTCGGCTAAGTCCACATGCCCACAGAGCCCACAGTAACCGACACGGCCGTAATCTCCATAGTGTTCAGAACGCTCAGGAACTTAGCAGCGTCCACATTATCCACCGCATCCACCGTGTGTCTCAGACGGCGATCCACGGCCTGTGGTCCACTCCCACCACGGGTGTGGGCGAGTGGTGGATCATGTCCACAATGAGCACAATGTCCTCTGTAACTGAACATAACTTGGGATAGGGACCGTTCCTAGGGTCGGATGACGTGTCGGCCGGCCGTGATGATTACTTTAACTGCTGATATGTCAGCTGGCCGTGATGACTGCTTCAGCTTCTGACAGGTCAGCTGGCGGTGATGACCGCTTCAGGTGCTGGCATGTCAGCTGGCGGTGATGACCGCTTCAGCTTCTGACAGGTCAGCTGGCGGTGATGACCGCTTCAGCTTCTGACAGGTCAGCTGGCGGTGATGACCGCTTCAGCTGTTGGCATGTCAGCTGGCGGTGATAACCGCTTCAGCTTTGACAGGTCAGCTGGAGCTGATGACCGCTTCGACTGCTGGCATTTCAGCTGGCGGTGATGACCGCTTCAGCTTCTGGCATGTCAGCTGGCGGTGATGGCCGTTTCAGCTTCTGGCGCAGTGTGCCTGCCTGTATCGGCCTAGCCCGGGGGAGAGGGGCAGCAAGGCCTCAGGACCCGGCGCGCTTCGGCCGATGCGGTTCATCGGGTCATCTGAATACAGGAACCCGCTGACGGCGCCTGTGAGGCCCGATGTCGACATCAGGGTGTCCGGGGGCGAGCTGATGACGTCATCACTCCTCGATGGCTTCCCGCACGCAGGTTGTCGGATCCACAGACCTTGTTGTCCGGGTAAGGAATCTCAAAGCAAACAAAACGTCATTGCGCGGCGTTCTCCTAGCGTGTTTTGTTTGATGCAAGGAGGATTAAGACAGGGAAAGATTGATTCTCATAAAAGATATATCAATAGAACTAGTCACGCAGTAAGAGAAAACATGGACTTCAAGGACCAACCACATAGTTCAACCATGCTTGCGTCCCCGCTCCCTCACGTTGGATTCAAATTGTTCTTCAATTTGAAACCAATCAAAAGGAGCATGTATTCCCTACGCCACGCTAAAAGCGGAGTTGAAGTGAAAACTTTTTTGCACAGCGAGGAATTGCATCAACATTAATAGATGACAAGGTTTGTTTGTGACCGGTTAGGATTTTGTGTTGCACAACGTGCACTCTCGTAAACTTGCTTGCTCTTTATTGCCTTAGTCAGCTGACCAAAGAGTGGCTGTTTCGACTGGAACCAGTTTGGTGGAAATATTCAGAATTGTTTGTGGTAGCGAAATGGCCACCCTTTTTCCAGTACCTGACTGAATATGCGTGCAGTCTTCTATGCAGGGCACTCTGCCGCCTCAAGTCCTCATTTCTCTTCTTGGTACACGCCAAACGCGCTGACGAAACAATCACATCCGGCCATTATCACTATAACGTATGCAATTATCAACTGCCACAGCTGCTCAGGCCACTTGATCGCCAAAAACCAACCGATAACATCTGCAAAGCACACGGGGCTGGCGCCCTCCACACTACCGGAAGCAAACGGTGCCGAAATATCATCCGCACCCTCCAAACAGCCCACTCGTCCGACGCATTAGAGCGTGGCTTTCCTTTATCTCGTAACGTCTCTTTTGACATTGGAGGGCCGGTCTGTGCAGAGCAGGCATTTTTCGGCGGCCAATTTGGCCGTCAGAACAGTGTGGGCAGCGCGGCCAATTGAGGTCGCGACTGTGGCGGTTACCTCGCAACAATGAGCACGAATTATACAACAATAGGGCGTGATTGTGACGGCGACTTCATTTGTTGCCTTTGTCGGATCCTTTTGTTGCTTATCTCTCATTTTCTGCAATTATCTGCCCGGCCGTGGCCCCTTTGTGCGGCACAGAATGACACAGAATAGC